TCACAGAATAGACTTGTGGTGGAAAACAAGATACAAGATGAAGCATCAAAGATATGAACAAGATTACAGAACAGTGGAGTTCAACAAAGCAAAACAAAAAACTGAAAGATTAAGGAGGAACAGTGACTTAACAGAGAAAAGAAGCCGATGTTGAGATCGCCGAAGCCAGAAGAACGGCGGCAGCGGGATAGATTGGCAAGAACCTCGCCAGAGGAAATGGACGGAGCGAGTTGCAGAGCTTTGGAAGCTTGAGCAATAGAGGATCTTGAGGGGAAAAGTTAGAAAGAGAAAAAAGCTTCAGAAGTGAAAAGTGAAGAGACGAAGAGAGAGGGAATTGATTTTTGTTAAAACACAGAAACGGCGGCAAAGAGGTTATTGATGTGCCTAGAAGAACGTATGCGTCAGACGGCGCACGCAAAAGTGATTCGATTTACAGACGTGTATCTAGTACGGTCTAGTGAGAAAAAGACGCGTGGCTAAAAACGGTTGAGTTGTTATGCACGACAGCTCATGCGCATGAAAGAGAACTTGGAGATTCTTGTTCTGTAAAAGGCATGTCGGCCTGGATGATGATCTCGCCTAGGATATATTAAGCCGACATAATGATAGGAGGTACCGATATAGGTTCTATCACCTCAGAATGCCGAGGTAATAGAACCTAGGGAGCAGTTGTGGGGATATATTTTTTGAGTCCCAACACGTGACCAAGGTGACGCCGACGTATCAGCCGAGGTGCCACGTGTCCATGTTATGATGCCGAGGTAATCTCGACAAGGCCGAGGTTATCTCCGAAGATATCGGAATCCGAGATAAGCGGATAAGGGACAAGAGTCCTTGAATGAGGAAGGACTTCAGCCTGGATAAGGATAAATCTCTTAGAGAGTTTATTTTTATCTATTGGAGAGTCCAGGATGAGCACTGAGCAAGAGTCCATTGAAGCTAGGCTTCTAGTGGGATTAGGATTGAGCTAACTATAAAAGAGAGGCACCCCCGATGGGTTTAAGGTACGCAATTTATATTTTGAACAGTGAGTTTAGCACTATTGATTATTTTTGAAAGATATACTGACTTGATCGTCGGAGTGCCCCCGGGTGGACGAACCACCGCCGGAATCTTCTCTTTCTGTTGCAGGTCAGCCATGTGTCATCTATTCTGCCAGTACTCTCCAGCTGAATAACTAAGTTGGCAGTGTGATCGGAAATTCACTCACACATATTTCAATAAAAATTTTACAAATTTAAGATCCAAAAACAAAAAATAAATAGGCTTACATTTATGTAGTGGTGTGTACAATTTAACTATCCAAAGTGAAATGTTACCTTATATTTTTTAAAAAATTGCCAATTAATTGAGTTACTGATGAAGTTTGAGACCCCAAGTGCTAACTCAGCACATTGGTATGGTGCTTCTAGATCAATATGTGGGTTGGCTCTCTAACTTTTTGGTTATTTAATTTGGGATTAAAAAGTTTTGTTTGAAATGAATTTTTAATTTTTTTAATTTTTGTGAGAAAAAAAATAAAATGATTAAGGTTTAGATGTAATATTTTATCTTATTGACTTTTTAACTTATTTTGTTTTTTTGTGACTAAAATAGACAAAAAAAAAATTATGTCAAACATTGCCTTACGAAATGGACAGACTATGGAAGATAAGATTGGCCCATCTATTTTTTTCTCTATCAATCGTTAACACTGTATACATATATTATAATAGTGCTTTGAAATTATTGAATAATTTTTATTTATTAATGGAACAAAGAATTATGGCAAAAATATGAAAAATGTTTATATGTATACAAGAATGTAGCTGGATGTGAAGAAAAAACTGTTTGGTTGCTTAGGCTTGCAGGAAAAGGAAGAAAGAGAGCTCATGAAATTAAGAAAAAGTGTTGTAATGCAATTAACTCACAATCACCAAGAAAAAGTGTTATATTATAATATTACTTTTCTTCTAATCTTGTTGAAAAATAATGAAGTCTTTCAACTTTGTGCTTCCTCCCACATCAACAGACTAAACTATCATGACTATATTACTATAGTGGTATGATGTTGCCTCACTTGGGTCCCCATTTCACAAATTTGATGATGTATCCTCATACAACATTTTGAAAGATTTAAATAATTGTTACAAAATATAGAAAATTCAAAAATTCATATAATATTACTTTCAAATTAATAATAAAAATCCAACTTTTTTTTTGGTTTAGTAGTCATAATTTAGATAACTAAAATAGTTTTTTCTATTCATAACTACAAAATTTAAAATAATATTTTAGTATAATGTGTACGTTAAAATGATGTTAAACACATGAAAAATGACTCAGACCCCAGCTGGGGTGCTGGGGTCGGCTCCTACTGGACAAAAAAATTGTTTCTTTTTTTATTTTTTTATTTTTTATTTTCGGCCAACCCCAGTGCGACACGTCACTGGGGGTTGTCAGTGGGGGTCACCCCACTGGGGTTTGTAGCATTTTTCTAAACACATATTGTCGTAGTATGTGTTGGGCCAACCTATGGCATGCAAATAGCAGTACCAGCTAAGTTGATATGGAAGAATTGCTTAGACCATGGGACATAGTTATGGGATGAGATTTTTTACCAAAATTTCAGTAAGTAAATGGTGTGAGCACAACGAGGAATTAATGAAGTGATCTTGTAGTAAACAAAACTACTTTCACTTTCCATAACCAAAACAAAAGAAAGTCAATTAGGTCCTACAATTGCGATCAATCTTGATAGTTCTTTAATTGTGGTGGCCCTAATTTGGATAAAGGTAGAGTTTACTTTCATATTTTTGTACCATCATTTTGAGATTTTATCACAAAAATGTTAAGTGTGTCAATTTTTTTATTAAATTTTATACCAAACACTCGCATAAGTCTGAAATTTTTTTATCCCTACCAATGCTCATTTTGAATTATTTTGAGAGATTAGTTAAAAATTAATTTTTTAACTTTTTTTTGAAAAAAATTTATAAAAAAATAAAAAAGTTATATAACCCAAAATAAATTAAAAATCAAAATTTGACTTTTAACTAATTTCTCAAATTAGGCCTTTATCAATTGAGTTAACCGACACTTTCTTGCTCTCAAATGCATTAACTCTAGAACTAGTAAAAAAAAGAAAAAAAAAATTGGAAAAGAAGAGTTCTAGAGAGTTTTAATGATGTGTGAGTTTTAAAATGATGTAATATTTGTGTCTTGTTTTTATTTTATTTTTTTCATTGTTAAGTCATTAGAGCTATGTTTAAAGTTTTCAAATTAGAGAGATGTATCATTTCTCGATAGTGATAGAGAGCTCTAATACTAGAACTCTAACATGAGCTCCAGTGAGGTGTCAAATCCAAAAATAAAAAAAGAAAAACAAGCAAAAACATCACATCATCGTGTGGGACACACTATTAGAACTATATTAGGCTCCGTTTGTTTTCAGAGATAGAATTGAGGGGATTCATAGTGAGGGGATTCATAGTAAGAGGATTAATAGTGAAGAATTATTAAATTATTTTTATATAAAACAAATAAAAAAATATAAAAAATTAAACATTATATTTAAAAAAAAATTCTCAATATATAAAAAATATAAAAAATTTCTAATCCATTCACTATTTTTCTAATACCGTCTCTACTTCTTCCTTACCAATTCCCTTTCCTCCTCCTTACTAATACCAAGGGATTACTAATCTCCTCCCTATCTCTCAAAACAAACACTCCATTTTCAATCTCCTCCTCACTACCAAATCCAATCTCCTCCTTATATCCCCAAACAAAAGGGCCTTAAGGTTCTTAAAATTAGAGATACCAAACATTATTGATCATTTCTGTAAAGAAAAAAAAAAAAAAAAATCTCTTATCAATGTTAGAAATTAAAAAAGTTGATAGAGTGATGTTTTTACTCATCAATTCCATTTGAGAGGAACAGAGAACAGCAATCATTCATACAACCATTCCTCCCTCTCATGCTTAATCATTCCCCTCCTCTCCTAATAGTTTAGAGAGAGAGAAATTTGACTCTCTCTCCTCCTCCTTTAATCATAGGCACTCATACCATGGCTTTCAAGGATAGGGAATCAATTCGACTCCTGTATTTCTTGTCTAGTTCCATGCAAATTTTCTCCACATCTCATAAATAAAATAAAATAAAATAAAACATATTTACTCAAAATTTTAAATTAGAAATTTGTCCAGAATTACAGATTCTTATTGTGAATGATTATTGCTCTTAAATTTTAAATTCTGAATAAATTTTTGAAGATTTTTCTAATGTAAATCTGATAAAAAAAAATTTATTGCAAATGAAATTTCTTTTTTCATCATTTTTTTTGTCCCTCTCACCTAATTATATTTAATTAAATCTCTTTTAAATGTATATATTGGGAACAGAACAGTGGTAGTTTACAAAAATAATTATAAATTCATGAAAAAAAATTAAGATTTTAATTATTAAATATTTATAAATTTTACCGTTAATTTTTAATATTTTTAATATTTCTCCTCTTTATTTTTCTATCTTTCAGTTTTAATCTTTTTAATATTTCTCCTCTATATTATCTTTTGTACAAGTATTGTCCTCCTCCTATAGATGACAAATTATCGCGACACCTCTCTAATTTTCCTTTTCGCCCCATTGCTATTCCTAGAAAGAGAATTTTTATTTTTTCTTTATTTTTTTCTGTCTTAATTTTGATCATGATAATAAAAATGAATGCCCAAATCCCACTTTCTGAAGACCTATTTCTTTAGAAAAGAAAAAATGTTGGATCTCAGCTTGTCGAGTCTAATTTTATTCCTACATAATCAAAGTATAAATAAATTTTTTAATTAATTTAAAATAATAAAATTTATATAACTTTCTAAAATAGAACTCAACTCCAAACCAATGTGCTAACAAATTTAAATTCTCACCAACCAATTAATTTTTCCCCATAGTGAAAAAAATTGTGTTTTCTTTATTCTAGAATTTAACCTTTTGTTTTCTTTATATTTTTAAAAACTCACACACACCCAATCATCCACTTCCCGCCGAGACTCACTCTCTCTGTATCCCCATGGATGTTCATGCTCTTCCTCTCTTCTCTCTCCTCCTTTTCCTCTCACTCTCACTCTCTCTCTCCACATACTCTCTCTCCACCACCACCGACACCGCCGCCCTCCTCCTCTTCCAATCCCAAACCGACACCCACGGCAACCTCCTCTCCAACTGGACCCTCCCCAACACCGCCGCTTCCACCGCCTGCTCCGCCGCATGGCGCGGAGTACGGTGCACCAACGGCCGGGTAACCGCCCTCTCTCTCCCCTCCCTCGACCTCCGCGGCCCCATTTCTTCACTCTCCTCCCTCGATCAGCTCCGCCTCCTCGACCTCCACAACAACCGCCTCAACGGCACACTCGACCCCATCGCCAATTGCACCAACCTCAAACTCGTCTACCTCTCCGGCAACGACTTTTCCGAAGCAATTCCATCGACATTCTCTTCTCTCACTCGTCTTCTCCGATTAGACCTCTCCAACAACAACCTCAAAGGCCCAATTCCAGACTCTTTCTCTAACCTCACTCGCCTCCTCACTCTCCGCCTCCAAAACAACGAACTCTCCGGCCAAATCCCCAAATCTCTCGCCTCACTTCCCTCACTAATAGAATTCAACTTGTCCAACAACGACCTCTCCGGAAATTTACCGAAAAATCTCAGAACCAAATTCGGCGATCGGAGCTTCTCCGGCAACCAAGGGCTTTGCGGAACGAGTCCTTTTCCATCTTGTTCCTTGTTCCCATCGGCTCAAATCGTACCATCAAAACCGTCCTCATTTCCTTCCACCTCCATAATCGACGAAACCGAGCATAAACCTCGAAGAGGGCTTAGTCCTGGAGCCATAGTAGGAATCGTGATTGCCAATTCAGTTCTGCTACTCGTGATCACGTCGTTCGTTGTAGCTTTTTATTGCGGCACACAATCTAGAGATTCGAATTCGAGATCTGGAAGCGAAGAAACGAAGAGATCGAAGACATCAATTGAGAAGAAGATTTACGCGAACGATTATGAAGAAGAAGAAGAGAGCGGCGGTGATCGGAGGAGCAAGCTGGTGTTCTTCGACAACAAGAAGATGTTCGAGCTCGAAGATTTGTTGAGGGCGTCGGCGGAGATGCTGGGGAAGGGGAGCTTGGGGACGGTGTACAGGGCGGGGCTCGACGGCGGGTATACGGTGGCCGTGAAGAGGTTGAAGGATGCGAATCCATGTGAGAGGAGAGAGTTTGAGGAGTACATGGATTTGATTGGGAAGCTTAAGCATCAGAATATTGTGAGACTAAGAGCTTACTATTATGCCAAAGAAGAGAAGCTTCTTGTGTATGATTATCTTCCCAATGGAAGCTTGCATTCTCTTCTTCATGGTATGTATGCATGATTTTCTGAATCAATTACTTGTTTGATAAGTGTTGGAGCATCTCTAAATCAATACTTAAATTTGTATTTGTGTAAAAATTATTTAAAAATTTCACCATTTGTTAATTTTGTATTTATTTATTTTATTTTATTTTTTTGAAAAAAAAAAACCTTAAGTACTTATTAAATTTTTTAAAATTATATTTTAGTTTTAACTCAAATTTATAATCTAAGTTTGTTTATGTTTTTTATCAAATAAAAGTTTTTACTCAAATTTAAATAAAATTGTGAGTAAGGATGGGGCATCATCTTATTCTATTCGTGGTTTTTAAGAGTCTAAGTTTGGTTTGGTTTCATTGCCATGAATAAGTGATAAAAAATGTAGTAGAATATAATGTGTTTCTAATCTTATTGAAAAAATTAGCACCAAATCAAATCCTTCGTAACAATCTAAAGAGGGTCATAATTATTCAACTTTCACTCAATTAGGCTATATGATCTTTGCTTGCGGCATCTCAATTTTTGTTGATTAAGGAATCAAAACCAACCGATTATATGTTATAATTTGATTTTAATTATTTTTGAGTTTATCTTACGCAAAAGGCTTGAAGGATTTTATAGAAATTAAAAAATGTTATGTATTATCTTATTTTCTCACTCCGAGACACAAATGAGTAGATTCCATTTACATTTATAAATGTGAGTCTCATTACTTTGTGTCTAAAAGTGAAAAAATAAAATAAGAAATATAATTGTATATAACATTATTCAGTATAATTTCATACGAGAAATAAATGAAAATAAATAGTGAAAATTGCTACACAAATATCTCCCTCTCTCTACTTTAACCTTTATTACAAAAAAAATATAATATTGGACACATATCCATTAGTACTCAAATAATAAAAATATAAAAAATACTTATCAATGTTTTAAAAACAAATTTTACCTTATAAAAAAATAGATCGAAACCTAAAATTTCAATGCTCAAATTGGTTGGATTCAACTGATTTTTGTTTTTGTTTTTGTTTGTCAACCCTAAGGCCATGTTTGTTTGGGCGGACTGGATTAGTATTCACATGACTAATAGTCTAGGACTACGAATCCGTTAGATTATGTATCTTATCTTAACTAATAGTCAAGTTTAAAATAATTAGTCCGTACTTCAATTGTTTAACCAAACATCGGATTAATAATTTTATTAAATTATATTTTAGTTTTAACTCAAATTTATAATCTAAGTTTGTTTATGTTTTTTATCAAATAAAAGTTTTTACTCAAATTTAAATAAAATTGTGAGTAAGGATGGGGCATCATCTTATTCTATTCGTGGTTTTTGAGAGTCTAAGTTGGGTTTGGTTTGGTTTGGCTTGGTTTCATTCCCATGAATAAGTGATAAAAAATGTAGTAGAATATAATGTGTTTCTAATCTTATTGAAAAAATTAGCACCAAATCAAATCCTTCGTAACCATCTAAAGAGGGTCATAATTATTCAACTTTCACTCAATTAGACTATATGATCTTTCCTTGCGGCATCTCAACTTTTGTTCAAAACCAACCGACTATATGTCATAATTCGATTTTAATTATTTTTGAGTTTATCTTACGCAAAAGGCTTGAAGGATTCTATAGAAATTAAAGGATGTTCCGTATTATCTTATTTTCTTACTCCAAGACACAAATGAGTAGATTCCATTTATATTTATAAATGTGAGTCTCATTGATTTGTGTCTAAAAGTGAAAAAATGAGATAAGAAATAGAATTATATATAACATTATTCAGTATAATTTCATACGAGAAATAAATGAAAATAAATAGTGAAAATTGCTCTACAAATACCTCCCTCTCTACTTTAACCTTTATTAAAAAAAATATAATATTGGACACATATCCATTAGTACTCGAATAATAAAAATATAAAAAATACTTATCAATGTTTTAAAAAAAATTCAAAACCAAAACAAATTATACCTCATAAAAAATAGATCGAAACCTAAAATTTCAATGCTCAAATTGGTTGGATTCGACTGATTTTTGTTTTTGTTTTTCAACCCTAAAGGTTTTTGATTTTGTTGATGTAATTAGGGAACCGGGGACCAGGGAGAATTCCACTGGACTGGACCACAAGGATCAGCTTGGTCCTCGGAGCAGCTCGAGGACTCGCAAGGATTCACGAAGAGTACTCTGCAACAAAAATACCACACGGGAACATAAAATCCTCCAACATATTGCTAGACAAAAATGGCATTGCTTGCATTGCTGATTTCGGGTTAGCCTTGCTTTTGAACCCAGTTCATGCCACTGCAAGGCTGGGTGGTTACAAAGCACCCGAGCAAGTCGAACTCAAGAGACTCTCTCAAAAGGCAGATGTCTACAGTTTCGGTGTCTTGCTTTTGGAAGTGCTCACCGGGAGAGCTCCATCGCGACACCTATCACCAACACGTCCTCGGGGAGGGCAGGAGGAGGAGGTGGCAGTGGATTTGGCGAAGTGGGTCCGGTCGGTGGTGAGGAATGAGTGGACTTCAGAGGTGTTTGATCATGAACTTTTGAGGTATAAGAACATTGAGGAGGAACTTGTAACAATGCTACAGGTTGCTTTGGCTTGTGTAGTGGAACAGTCAGAAAAGAGGCCTACAATGGGTCAAGTGGCTAAGATGATTGAGGAGATAAGGGTGGAGCAGTCTCCGTTGGGGGATGACTACGACGAATCGCGCAGTTCGCTCTCGCCTTCGCTTGCCACCACCGCCGAGGAGGTGTTGGCCGGTTTCTGATGATCTTTCGTGGACCGGTACTTACTTGCCAGTGTTTCTTGATGGTTCTTTTCTACCTTCTTTTTTACCTTTTGCACCTTCTTATTGCAAATTATTGTTGTCGTTGGATGCTCTATATTGTGAGGAGCTATGGACTTTTCTTTTTTATTTTCCTCGACCTTGTATTGTTTGTATGCTTCATGTTAATAAATTTATGGTATGTAATGTAATTTTGAAATTTGGGTTGATTATTAGTTTTTTTTTTATATTATGCAAACATGACCATAAGAGAGTGATAAACAAAACCAAGCTGAATTTTTTAATTTGCTTGATGATCCCTGCTGTTTGAATTTTATTTTCCAGAAAATCTGTCAAATCCTATGGCACTATTGGGGAAGAACGAAATAAGCAGTTTTTCATAAGCAAACAAGCCTATTTGGGTTGTGGCTTCTTTAAAATTTTTAAAATATGTGTATATATATTTGTTTTTAGCAAATTTATGAATGCAATTTTACTCTCAATATATTTGTCTTTTCAAAAATACGTATATATATATATATATGTTTTTGTTTTTAGCAAATTTATGAATGCAATAACTTATTTTAGTCCATCTTTTTATCTTTTTTAAGTCACATCAATCAATATTTTTTTTTACTTTTTTACACATTTTTTTATAAAAAGTCAAAAAACACACTTATTTAAAATATCTCAAAACTCTCAATATATTTGTCTTTTCAAACTTGTTTACAAAGGCTCCACCATACTATAAGGATAATATGATAATTTCACACTGAACTGTAAGTTTGAAAAGACAAAATATGTTTTTAACAATTACTAGATACATCAACATTTTAAATTTTAAAAAAATAATAATAATAAACTACTTTTTAAAAAAAAAAAAATTGACAAAACCCCATCAGAGTGTAGTAGCAGTGGATCACATCTTTTGCAGCTGTCATCAACTCATCGCAGATGGGAGAAAAATTAAGGCATGTTTGAAATCGTTTTCATATACTATTTCTATTTCTATTTCTATTTTTCAGAAAACATAAAATTTTGATAAACTGTTTCCCAAAACTGTGCCCCAAAATGTGGCAAGTCTTCCTACTTGTCAACGTATCTTGACTGAACATAGTATGAGCTGGATCAACAAAAGCATAGAAATCATATCACAAAATTCATCAAGACACTCATCATTCATAAACCAACAGCTGTGATACACTTTAAACCCTCCAGCAATTCAAAGTCCACTCATAATCAAAATCTTAAGCTAACCATAATGCATCATGAACGTTATTAGCATCGACAAGCGACAAAAACTTTTATCAGTACATTACACTGTTAATACATTTTGCGTCACTCCTTTCTCCTATCCCAACTATTAACTATGAAAAGCCAAACAATCTACGATATGAGAAATACAACAGAGAAACCACAACAGGACAAGGATTAAAGCAAATCATTAATCATGTCATCACTGTAGAAAGTAAGTTAGCTGCAACATCTTAACCGGTGTACTATTTTTCGGAGATCTTCCCTAACCGCGACTGAGTTCTCTATTAGTTTTAGAAAGACCCACCAAATGGTAGTTTGGCACATGATCGGTCGATCATAGGTTCAAATGCTAAAGATTGTAATCAGAGAGATGATGATCCACAAATATTAGCTAACTCTTCCCGTCTGATCAATCAGTGTACCGACTTGTTCTCCACATAATGCTCTTGATATGTTCCCAGGCTCATGAAGATTAAATATCACAACTACAAGAAGAAATATAATTTCACAACATTAATTTTTCTATTTTATTTTTCAGTAAGAAATAAGAAATATTGAAAAACCATTCTTGTTTTTTTTTTTAGATGGCAATATTCTTGTATTTATATTACTATGCAAAAATTATCACAATTTCAATTTCATAATAGTTTGAATACGTGGTTTAGAGTGTCTGAAAAGTATTTGATACTTTTTAAATTACAGAAATGATAGAGACTCTCTTTTTTCTTGACCCCCACAACCCCCCACAGACACGTGTCAATGAGTGATAGGAGGAAGAAAAAAAAAAAACAAAAAGTAAAAAAAAGTTGGCCAATCCCAATACATTGGGAGTGGTGGGAGTTAAGGAAAAACGGGATCTCAACCTTTTTCCTTCAAATTAACATCAAATATTAGATACGTTTAGGAAGTATCATATACAAATCTACAAGTATCCGAAGAGTATGATAAGACACGAGTACGATATGGATACAGCTCCCTTTTAAAAGTATGTGCTTATCAGAGATTCTAGTCACAAGCACAAAAACCAATGGCTAGCAAAAAATATACAAACCAGGAATTCCATTCTCCTCGCAGAATGTTACTGCCATCGTGTCCATAGGGGAAGCACCTCTAGAGGCCAACTCCCTGAAGGAAATGTGCTCAGAGACGACGTTGTTGTTTCTGGAATCACAAAGATAGACACCATCTACATTGGTACCTTTGAGGACTGCATCAGCATGAACTGAAAAGGAAAAGAGGTATCCATATTTCATTTTCAGTGAATATAAAAAATATAAATAAACTAATCTGTATTTATCAGTGGAATTCTCCCAATGGAGCAAGGCCATACTCTCTGAAGCTCTGAGAGCCGCTGCTGTATCAGTGGAGAATAGTGGATTTCCGGTGCCAGCACCAATACCACCAAATATTACAACCCTAGCTTTTTCAAGATGCCGAATAGCCCTTTGCCTATTGTATGGTTCAGCAACCTCCGGCATAGCAAATGCAGTTTGCACACGTGTCTGAATACCCATCTTCTCTAAAGCTGACTGGAGCAATATCGAATTCATCGCAGTTGCCATCATACTGGTAACAATTTCAAAGTCATATCTTAATTAGGTTATCGCTAACCACAACTGCAAACCATTTAACAGCTAGTCTTACAGTCAAAATGGAAGTAGGGTTAAAAAAATTACATGTCACAGTCAAGCTAATAAAACACAAGATTCAAAGTACTATGTTATTCATATGCAACAAAATTCAATAACGTAGATTCGGACAATCAAAACCTTCCAACAAACTGGCAACCTTATATTTGACGATAGATGAGTGCAGAGTGAACAGAAGGAACAGAAGGACTTCATCAACTCTTCTTTGTACTCATCTCAGCCTGACATCGAATAAGACTTCACCACGAGGTAGAGGAAGATACCTTCCACAAATACTAATATGCATGAAGATGTGATCCAGGAGAGTAGGCAACATTCTACCAACTTTTTTTTGATAAATAAGCAGTATTCTACCATCTTAGCAGGCTGGTTACAACAGTATGCAATCAAAAGGAGAAAAAAAAAAAGGTGTTTCATCCTTTCATTTTAATTTCTGATTATGCAGAGAAAAAAATGGCCTCGTTTGGAAGTGGCTATTTTTAGAGGCTTTTTGGCTTTTTTAGTAGGCTATTTTAGTTTTTGTGTTTGGGAAGATGAGATAGATTTTTAGTTGAGTTGTTGTATTGAAAAGTGTGTTGAAATGATGTGCTCAGAGACGACATTGTTGTTTCTGGAATCACAAAGATAGACACCATCTACATTGGTACCTTTGAGGACTGCATCAGCATGAACTGAAAAGGAAAAGAGGTATTCATATTTCATTTTCAGTGAATATAAAAAATATAAATAAACTAATCTGTATTTATCAGTGGAATTCTCCCAATGGAGCAAGGCCATACTCTCTGAAGCTCTGAGAGCCGCTGCTGTATCAGTGGAGAATAGTGGATTTCCGGTGCCAGCACCAATACCACCAAATATTACAACCCTAGCTTTTTCAAGATGCCGAATAGCCCTTTGCCTATTGTATGGTTCAGCAACCTCCGGCATAGCAAATGCAGTTTGCACACGTGTCTGAATACCCATCTTCTCTAAAGCTGACTGGAGCAATATCGAATTCATCGCAGTTGCCATCATACTGGTAACAATTTCAAAGTCATATCTTAATTAGGTTATCGCTAACCACAACTGCAAACCATTTAACAGCTAGTCTTGCAGTCAAAATGGAAGTAGGGTTAAAAAAATTACATGTCACAGTCAAGCTAATAAAAAGCAAGATTCAAAGTACTATGTTATTCATATGCAACAAAATTCAATAACGTAGATACGAACAATCAAAACCTTTCAACAAACTGGCAACCTTATATTTGACGATAGATGAGTGCAGAGTGAACAGAAGGACTTCATCAACTCTTCTTTGTACTCATCTCAGCCTGACATCAAATAAGACTTCACCACGAGGTAGAGGAAGATACCTTCCACAAATACTAATATGCATGAAGATGTGATCCAGGAGAGTAGGCAATATTCTACCATCTTAGCAGGCTGGTTACAACAGTATGCAATCAAAAGGAGAAAAAAAAAAAAAAGGTGTTTTATCCTTTCATTTTAATTTCTGATTATGCAGAGAAAACAATTTAGGATGTTTCTACCATAACAACAGTCTCGGTTAAATGCTCAAGAAGAATTCACCAAGTTAGCTTGACCACCAAGTTTAATTACTATGAATAAATCATGCGTTGGCCTATTTTGAACAATTTAAATGAATAACTATTATGTTGCCAACTATTTGTCGATGTGTGATGCATCTTTCTAATGTGCGAGTACCTAATACCCCTAGTGCAACTGTCTACGCTTCACTTGTTTTTTTCTTCTTCTTCTTCTTCTTTGCTTTCACTTTCTTATCTTCTTAAAATGTCATTGCATTTACAGAGCTGCTTGCCAGATTTGATTTTAAAACATTAAACTCACTATCTAGCCCTTATAAACCATAAGTTGTATACCAAATCCCTGTCCCAATCATCTATAAGCCAAACCTAAAATTAAACCTTAATTTGGTGATAAAAATAAATGATCCTACATCACAGAGCATCCGAATTACTATTGTTGTAGTTCTATTTACAACCCCGAACAAAGATATTCAGCCCTCAAAACCCTAGCCCATTGATATCCAAGAAAACTCTACCACATGGCCTACAATTGAACACCCAAGAGACCATTAAAATGATGGCTGTCCAGAAATTCCAGCACCTAGACCTCGCAAATCAAGCTTGATTGAAGCCTGGTCTTGACTCATCAGGGGCACCTCTAAATTAGTCTTGATAAAGTATGGGATCCTGAATAAATTTGTAATAGATGGGGAGTTGTTCAAAGATGGTAAAGAAACCTTGATTGGTAATTCCTTTTATATTTGATGTGGTGTGTGTGGAGGGAACAGAATAGGTGGACTTTCGTGGTTGTAGATTTAGTGGTGCATAGATTGAAAATGTCCTTACTGTAAAGTTTTAATTTTTGGATTAAAGGAAAATATATTGAATCTTATGTTTCTCTTGTTGAGTCTAAAGGTGAGTTCAGTTTGGTAGAAGGGCTCTAGTTTGCAGGACCACTATTAGTGCTGAGTGCATAGATTGGCAATGCTTTTACTTCAACTTAGCAATAAAAGGTCTATCCAAATCCAAGAAACTGCTAGTGAACACATTTTGTTAGTATCATGATCGCTCGAAGTAAAAGATATAAAAAAAAATTTAGCTTTATTACTAAAAAGAGGCTATTATTGATGCTGTAGCCACATTACCCAATTTGATAGGCAGTACATCTATCTAAACCAGTTGATGTAACCCATGTGTCTCCACAAAAGAAATTACGGCCTCCAACAACAATTGCCACCTAAGTATCAAATGAGGATATGCATGTCACAAGTCATATTCATATCACAACAGAAAATTCAGGTGCATTTGACAATCATTCAAAAATTAATACCTCAACACCAAGGCGGCAAGCAGTTGAAACTTCTCTGGCAATCAGCATTGCCACCTATCCCAAAAAAAAAAAAAAACTCAATTTGCGGGATCTAGTCCAGATGAAATGCGAAGGTAGGTAGTACAATACACTCTCCAGAGTGGTCAGAAATCATGGTTAAGCTATCCAAATCTCAACAGATATAAAGGAGTCTAAAATAAAAACCTTTGGGTCAATATTGTGAGGACCGGTGCCAGCCAAGGCAGCACCACTGATTTTGAAAACCACTCTCCGCCATCTAGGGTTTGTTAATGACTTCGACGACTTCAGGTTATTCATCTGTCCACTGGGGCTTGGTGTTGAAATTCCATACCTGCCCAAAAAATTACCGTATATTACTATATTAGACATAGGATTAAAAAAATACATATAGGTAAAGTATATGTGAATAAATATAAAACCAACATCTACCTCATGATACTAATAATCCACTAAATACATGTGCATAACTTGAATTTCTCCGGAGTCACAAAGCATGGGATTAAATACCTTGAATCCATTGCAGATTTTGAAATCAAAATTCAAGTGAACACACAAGATGACACGGCACATATTATCACGTGAACACTAAATTCTAAATAAATCTCAATTTAAAAATTATTGGCCCTATGAAGGAGGCAAAAGCAAGTTAAAAATCAATAAATAAGACGAGCTTTTTATCTTCAACCAGATCCGCATTCCATGCCACATACAGGCATCAATTCAGTGGTAAGCATGAAAAATTTGTCAGACAACTAGTACAATAAAAGCAAATTACTAATCATTTCCTTAAGTCTGATCAATTTGAGGACCTCCAATTACAAAATTTACTTACATTACAATCAAAAGCTAATAAACAGAAATCATTTCATTCAGATTGTTCATAAACACGATCAATTTCAAAATACAACAAACCAGAATCAGCTACCTCTTGGATTGTCGAAGAGAATTAGACGATCCGGAAACAGCTTTCTCATCCTCGGATACAGCCTTCGAGTGCAATGAATTACCAACAATCAACTCCATGTTATTGAACCAAGGCCAATGACTAGCCGAAACACCACCATTATTCATCCTATGCCGCTCCAACTTATACCTCTTCTTCAAGTTATCCACTTTGTTCTTGCACTGCTCAACGCTTTTCGTTTGCTTCTCACAACTCTCGCTCACAATCGCAGCCACTTCCTCCCAATCCCTCCCTCTCAAATTCCCCCTATTCAGCTGCGTAAACTTCTCCGTATACGCATCGAGCAGGCACGCGATCGCCGTATCGCTCCACTCCTCCCTGTCCTTCCTGTAATCTCCGCCGGCGGAGAAGGAGAGCTTTGATTTTTTGCGAGAATTATACGGTGTGCCACCGTCGCTGAGCTCTTCTCGATCCTTACGCTTGTTGTCGTCGTTCGACGCATCGTTTGCCCTAGGTTTATTCGGATCGGACTCGTCGGAGAAGTGGTGGTGGAGGGGGGACGGGTTTGACGGCGGGGCGTTATCGTCAGCGAGGAGAGAGAAGTCGTCGTCACAGGAGGCCATGCATGGGAGGGACGTTAGGGTTAGTGGGAGAGAGAAAACGACGTTAGTTGTGAGGAGGAGGATTGGGCGATGGCGATGGAGGTGGATTGGAGGGTTAACGTGCCGTGAGTGAGCGGGTGGGTTACCGTCACGGCTTTTCACGGGTCCCGTCAAGTAAGTGAAGGAAAGTGCCGTGTGTGTATTCAGTCACGTGGGTGGGACCCGGTTGGACAAGATCCGCCAGACAAGTCTTCGTAACGACACCGTACGTACCAAAAAGTTGCCCGTCATTCGTTTAGTTGAGAAAATAAAATCAGGAAAATGAGTGAGATTTTTTTTTTTTTTAAGGATTCCTACAATTTTTATAATGATTCATATCATTCATAAGATGTGTGGGATTCACTTATGTATGTATGGAATCTACATCATGAATGATATAGATAGAATTGTGGGAGTCCTCTAAAAAAAAAATCCCTATCATTGCTCATAAAACAAGGAGAGCATTTTTTTAATAAATTTTTTTTAAGAGTTTTATTTTATTTAATTCATTTTTTTTTATTATTTCATTAGATCTTATTTGAAGTAAGAAAACTAAAATAATATTAATCTCTCTTACTTTCTATTAATGTTGATATTTAATATTAATTATCATTATATTTTGGTAGTTTTCATACATAATGATATTGACTGTCATTATATTTATATTAATTTGAAATGAAATTTTTATCATTGTATTGTCAATTACATGATGTGAATATTCACATCATGGAATTGAAATGAATATTCATATCATTACATTCACATTAATTTAAAATAAATTTTTGTCATGCTGTTATCAATTACATTATGTGAATATTCATACTAAAACATACGAATTGAACGTTTACATCACTACATTAGATGAGAGATAATGTTTGTATGTTGTAAATGTTTGCATCACTACATGTTATGAATAAGAATGTGTTGTCAATTAAAAATTTTGAGAAGATGGTTAAAAGTTACTTTTTTACTTTTTTTTATTTTTTTGTGAAAGAGAAAAGTGAGTTAAAAGCTGGGAAGTGGCTTTTAATCCACTTCCCAAAATAAGCCATAATGAACGTCTTATTTTTAATATGTTATCAATTAAAAATAAGAAAGTTCACATGTTGTGAACGTTCACATCACTACATTAGATGAGAAAGAATTTTTCAGAAATGTGTTGTGAACATTCACATTAGATGAAAGAGAATGTTCATATTATTTTTAATGTGTTAGCAATTAAAAATATATTCACTATGCCTCCGTTTGGGAAGTGAGTTGATTTTTTGACTTTTTGATTTTTTTGGTTATTTTGGCTTGGGTTAAAAAGCTTGGTTTGTAAAGAGCTTTTTGACTTTTTGACTTTTTTGAATTTTTTATGAGAGAATAGTGTAATGATTATGAGTTAGATGTGATTTTTATTTTTTGTGACTAAAATAGTCTATTTTGTCTTTTGTAGCTAAAATAGCCACTTTAGCCCTTCCCAAACAACACCATAATATAAAATAATAACATCAATGTTATTTAATTGTGTATGGAATTTCCTATGTGTTGGTCCTTTCCCTTCTCTCTCCTTCCCCAAACATTAAATATTAGTATTAAATATAAGGGCATAAGAGTCTAAGAAAATAGTGTAAATCAAGAAAAATGACTTTATGGAATAAAAGTATAAATACATAGGACTAAGTGAGTTAAAAAATTATTCATGGACTTCTTGGGTTAGAACACTTCTAAATGAGATTTATCAATAAAAATTCCATAAAAAAATAGTAAATATTTTTAAGATAAATTATAAAGAATTATCAAATTTTTTACTAAATCTCTCACATGAGTGTGAATTTTCTACTAAATCTCTCACATGAATGTGGAATACACTTTCTGAAATTTGATTAAAATACGAATCACTTCCTATGGTTTTAGATATTACATTTCACCTCTTGAGATTTCCAATTTTATAAAAAAATTATCTCTTTTATTAATAAATCATCAAGTCAATTAATTATTTTTAATAATGTTAGAAATATGTTTTAATTAATAATTTAGGTAATTTTATTATTGTGTAAGAGAATAATTATGAATTTCATTTGTTTAGTTAATTCTGTTAAGTAAAAAATTATAATAAGGAAATATTTGTAATTTTTCAAACCACAGGAGATAATCTGTACTTTAAGCAAATCTCAAATAATGTATTTGTAATTTACTTATATTTTTATATTTTAATCATATTTAAAATAAGTGTTTTTTTTTAAGTCCCTAATATTACAATTTTAAGAGATAAAGGACGTTCCAAACTTTCATAGTATCTCAGTTCCTTCAAAAGAGTGCTACTATCTACCCCTATCGTTTTTCTTAGAGCCCTCACATCTTTCATTTTTTTTATTCCAATTTTATTCAAACATAAATTTTCATTTTTATCAGCTATTTTAGTTTTTGGCTATTTTAGTTGGCTAAAATTTTTGTGTTTGGGAAGATGATTGGATTTTTTTATAGTTAGATGTGATGTTTGTGAGAGAAAAAGTGAAATGATTATGGGTTTGATGTGATATTTTGTCTTGTTAACTATTTTAGCCTATTTTGTCTTTTTGTGAATTTTAGCCTAAATTAGGCTATTTTTTTTCTTCCCAAACAACCCCTATGTGAATATTCATACTAAAACATGAGAATTACACGTTTACATCACTACATTAGATGACAGATAATGTTTACATGTTGTAAACGTTTACATCACTACATGTTGTGAATAAGAATGTGTTGTCAATTAAAATTTTGGGAAGATAGTTAAAAGTTACTTTTTGACTTTTTTGATTTTTTTGTGAAAGAGAAAAGTGAGTTAAAAGCTGGGAGTGGCTTTTAATTCATTTCCCAAAATAAGCCATAATGAACGTTATTTTTAATGTGTTATCAATTAAAAATAACAAAGTTCACATGTTGTGAACGTTCACATCACTACATTAAATGAGAAAGAAGTTTTCGGAAAGGTGTTGTGAACATTCACATTAGATGAAAGAGAATGTTCATATTATTTTTAATATGTTGTCAATTAAAAATATATTCACTATGCCTTCGTTTGGGAAGTGAGTTGGCTTTTTTGACTATTTTAACCTGGGCTAAAAAGTTTGGTTTTGGAAGAGCTTTTTGCCTTTTTGACTTTTTTGGATTTTTTTGTGAGAGAATAGTGTAATGATTATGGGTTAGATGTAATGTTTTATTTTTTGTTGCTAAAATAGCCTTTTTTGTCTTTTGTGACTAAATAGCCACTTTAGCCCTTCCCAAACAACACCATAATATAAAATAACAACATCAATGTTATTTAATTGTGTATGAAATTTCCAATGTGTTGGTCCTTTCCCTTCTCTCTCTTTCCCCAAACATTAAATATTAGTATTAAATATAAGGGTATAAGAGTCTAAGAAAATAGTGTAAATCAAGAAAAATGACTTTATGAAATAAAGGTATAAATACATAGGACTAAGTGGGTTAAAAAATTTCTTCATGAACTTCTTGGGTTAGAACACTTCTAAATGAGATTTATTAATAAAATTCCCATAAAAAAATAGTAAATATTTTTAAGATAAATTATAAAGAATTATCAAATTTTTTACTAAATCTCTCACATGAGTGTGAATTTTCTACTAAACCTCTTACATGAATGTGGAATACACTTTCTGAAATTTGATTAAAATACGAATCGCTTCCTATGGTATTATATATTACATTCCACCTCTTGAGATTTCTAATTTTATAAAAAATCATCTCTTTTATTAATAAATCATCAAGTCAATTAATTATTTTAAATAATGTTATAAATATGTTTTAATTAAAAATTCAGGTAATTTTATTATTGTATAAGAGAGTAATTATGAATTTAATTTTTTTAGTTAATTCTGCTAAGTAAAAAATTATAATAAGGAGATATTTGTAATTTTTCAAACCACAAGAGATAATCTGTACTTTAAACAAATCTCAAATAATGTATTTGTAATTTACTTATATTTTTATATTTTAATCATATTTAAAATAAGTGTTTTTTTTTAAGTCCCTAATATTACAATTTTAAGAGATAAAGGACGTTCCAAACTTTCATAGTATCTCAGTTCCTTCAAAAGAGTGCTACTATCTACCCCTATCGTTTTTCTTAGAGCCCTCACATCTTTCATTTTTTTTATTCCAATTTTATTCAAACATAAATTTTTATTTTTATCCTCATTCCTAAATTATTATTCTTTTTTTTTTTTTCAAGGTAGGTTTATTCCAAACCTTCTAATCCTAATTTCCTAAACCCTAACCCTAATCTCCACCCACCTCACTAGCTATCCCCATCACCTCTAGCAGCCACCATTACCTCTAATCGTCACCTTCCCATTTTCCCAACCTCCAGCCACCCCTCTCCGACTCTCCTAACCACTCTCAACCCCTTAGCCCTTATTTTCGTACCTTCACTGCTGTTCATCCCTTCCGATCACTTCCTAACTCCAACCGACACCTTCTTCACTGCATCTTTTACCAGTGCAGCCCCTTCCCCTTTCCCACAACACTCCAAGTTCCCAACCCTGTCCATACTCTAGCGAGAGAAACAAAGAGAGAGATCACATAATATTATTTATTAACCAAGTGTTTAATAATTTTGCAGGCCAATGTAGGAAATCAGTAAAGTAGCACTAACATAATGCCCAAAGACAAATGGCATTTTGTTTGCATAAAATTAAGGACCTATATCTACATATATAAGAATCTCTTTTATTTTGGTGGTTTATACTTTTTTTCCTATGTTGTTCTTAACTTTTATTTCTATTTTGTCTTTGTAGGGGGGTTCAAGGTTAGAGAAGTGATTAGAGAGGTAAAACTATGTTAATGATCCAATAATGGCAAAAGTGGCTAGAGAATGAGTAGCAACAACAGTATGGGAGTTGGAGAGTGCGTAGCTAGGTGAGGGTGAAGCAAGTGGCTCAAGAAGAAGTGTACGGCAGTACCAAATTGGGTAGCATCTCCCCTAAATCCCCAAAATTCCTCCTGTTAAACCTTGGGAAATGAGTCCTATTTATAGGCATTTCCTTGGCACCAAGAGGACACCAAGTGGCCAAATAGAGAAAAGACATGTGTCCTAGAGGATCACATAGAATATTCTGCCCTGAGCCACCAGGCTGAAGGTGCCACATATCTCTCTACATGTACTATGTACTATCTATTTATCTCCACAGCTACCTTTTTGAGCCTCAGTAAGTGTAGTTGCGACGGGAGTGTTTGGCGTTGTAACTCT